CCTGGGATCATGACCTGAGCCGAAGGCAGACGCTTAACGACTGAGCCACCTAGGCGCCCGACTTAGTCTGTTTTGACTTGCTTGGTGTTTCGTGCATATTCGTAGATCTGATTATACTTCTATTACTTGATTTATCAAGTTTAAGTATAGATGATCAATGAAATTATTTTATTACCCCCATTTTGCCAGTTAACCATTTTCACATTGTCATATAACATTCTCTTTCGTTATGTTCTGTCACCTTCATTCCCACATTTGTTTAATCCTAGTCCTATAATTAAAGGCATTCAATAGTCACCACATATGTTTTTGTCATAATGTCTCTTGGCTGACTTAACTTTACCCTTATGTAGATTTTTATGAAGAATTCATGGGATCAAAGAGGCACATGCACCCTGATGTTTATAGCAGCATTATCAACAATAGCCAAACTATGGAAAGAACCCAAATGTCTATTGACTGATGAATGGATAAAGATGTGGTGTGTGTGTGTGTGTGTGTTTGCGTGTATATGTATGTATATGTATATGTGTGTGTGTGTAATATTACTCAGCCATCAAAAAGAATGAAATCCTAACATTTGCAACAACATAGATGTAAATAGAGTGCATTATGCTAAGCAAAATAAGTCAGTCAGAGAAGGACAAATGCCATATGATTTCACTCATATGTGGAATTTAAGAAACAAAACAGATGAACATATGGGAAGGGAAAAAAAAAGAGGGAGAAGCAAACCATAGGACTCAGCAATAGAGAACAAACTGAGGGTGGGGGATGGGCTAAATGGGTGATGGGCATTAAGGAGCGCACTTGTTATGATGAGCACTGGGTGTTATATATAAGCGATGAATCACTAAATTCTACTCCTGAAACCAATATTACACTATATGTTAACTAACTGGAATTGAAATAAAAATTTGAAACAAAAAATAAAAACAGAGAAAAAAGAATTCATGGCAAAATATTCGCTGATCTCTTGCTTGATCAACACCAGTAGTCTTTATACAATTTGGCTTGTCCACACATAATATTCACACATTATGTTTTCTTTCTATGGCAGGGGAATATTATATAGATATTTCTACATTATCCTCTTCATTGAATGGTTGCATTTGATGATTTTGAAACATCTAATTTTTTTTAATTTCTTTTGTCCTCACCATTTTTGCCTGGAATCTCATTTTGTTTCTTCATCCTTAAAATCCAGTAACTTTAACAAACTTTAAATAAAAGTGACTACTCTTGATTAATGCTCTCCAATTCGCTCAATGTTGCATTTTTTCAATATAGTTGATTAAAGTCATTTTTTATTCATTTTCATTCAGTCATTGTTGTCTTGAATTACAACTTCAAAAATTTTTTTTTTCTTCTTGCTTCCTTGCTTGCTTGTCTTCTTTGGAAATTCACTTTGGTTATGATACAACTTTCTCTCTTGACTCTTTTAAATCTTTTTTCTTTTTCTTTTTGTTTATTTTTTCTCACAGCAGTCCTCTGACCCCTGGTGTCTTTTCTAGTTTCCTAACTTCCTTGCATTCTTCCCAAACTCTTTCTTTATTTCTTTTATGTGTTTTATTTTTCTTTTATGATTTTTTCTTGATTTCTGCAAGCTTGTTTTCCTCCCTCCTGTTGTCAAGCTATATCAATCCTATTCCTGCATTTCTACTGGGTATTTTTGCATCATATGAAATATTACTTCATTAAGTTTCTATTGTTTAATTTACTTACTCCTTGCTTTGCATGTTCATCAGCTTTCTGGCAACCTTTGCCTGGTGCATGTTTTTTATCTGTGCATAGATTTTTCTACTTTTACATTTTTCATGTAGAATCTTTGTGACTGCAATACCCAGTTCCCTTTTCCATTGTTCATCCCTGAATGAGTTGAATTTTCTTGGATCAGCAATCTGGGGAGACACCTGAACTGGAGGTTAGGGAAGGGGACAGGGTAGCCTTTCAGCTATCTCATTCTCTGACTACTTCCAACTGTTAGGGCTCCTCTTGTTTCTTTATATAAAAATGTCTTATTTTCTTTTTTAATATAGCAGCCATTCTGAAAGTAATCCTGCTCATCCCTGTATTTTACTTATGGTTTTTATCAAGGGGTAGCTTTTGAAATTAAAATAAAAAAAATTTGCCTTCTCTTCAGAAAGTAGTGGAACTTCCTGGAACTTTCCTGGAACTTCCTCATGTGTTAATATCACTTGGGCTTCCACTGTTCTGCCCCGATTTTTTCTTTCACTGCTCCTACACAGCTTCTACCCATGTAAGCATTTCAGGCAGAAAAATCATGGTGTTGGGGTGGGGTGGGAGGGGTTTTTGATAGGTTTTGAGAATGAATCACTTGAAATGAGAAAAAAAATATTAGGAATAAGGTTTGAAAGTTATGCTTGGGCTAATAGGCGATGAATTTTTCCCTTCAAGAAAAGGGAAGTCATATGATATTTTTGAGGGTAAAAGCATTAGTTATCTTACATAATTAATCAATCTTTGCTAATTCTATATATATGTTCTATATACATAGAAAAATATGTGTATATCTATAGATATAAATATATATGTATGTATATATTCAAAGTGTACAAAATAAGCTAATTTTTAGAATTAAAGCTTGAACTAATGAATATGGGTTAAAATTATAATTGTAGATTTTCTCTGATGCAATAACAATACATGCTCTTTAGAAAATTCTGAAAATTATAGATAAGAATAAAGCAGAAATAAAAAATTTTAACATTTTGACCAGAGTTTCATATAAATGCATTATATTTTATTGGCTTTTTCATATTTTTTATTGTTCTAAAATTGGAATAATATTCTAAATATTGTGATCTCCATTTTATTCTTTTTGAATATATATTCTTTTAAGTAGGATTTTTTTGTGATGGCTTCAGTAATATTCCATTGTATGAAAGTAGTATAAATCATTTTATTAGCTCTCTATTAAAAGATATTTAGGTGCTTTGACATTGTAAATAGTATTGTGCTCATTGTCCTAGTACATATATCTTAATGTACTCCAAATACTGTAATCCAAATAGTACTTCGAATAAATTGGAAAGAGTAAAAGTCCTGGGACAGGAAATTATACATATTTTTCATATACATTCTCAAACTGTACTCTAGACAGGTTTTATTACTTATTATTCTCATGATTAGACAAAGTACTCATTTCTTTTTCTTTGAATCCTTGATGATAGGCTTCATACTTTTTTTTTTTTTTAAAGATTTTATTTATTTATTTGACAGAGAGAGACACAGCGAGAGAGGGAACACAAGCAGGGGGAGTGGGAGAGGGAGAAGCAGGCTCCCCGCAGAGCAGGGAGCCTGATGCGGGACTCGATCCCAGGACCCTGGGATCATGACCTGAGCTGAAGGCAGTCGCTTAACCAACTGAGCCACCCAGGCGCCCAGGCTTCATACTTTTTGAATGACTTTGCCAATTTGGTATGTGAAGTATGGTCTCATCTTTATGATATTTCACATTTTAAAAATTATTACTGAGATTGAACTCTTTTTTTTTTTCTGAATTTGTGGGACATTTACATTTCTCCTTTTATAATGCCCTGTCCATGCTCTATGGCTGGGTAGCTTTGGGGGGGCATTGCCCCTTCTCTGATGGAAAAACTGGGTGAAAACTCATAGGTGGCAAGTAGCAGCCTTCTCCCCATCATTGGTTTGTCTTTTAATTTTGTCTGTCTTTTCAATACAGTATTTTAAATATTTATAAATCTATCGATATTTGCCTCTATATTTCCTTTTGTTTTTATAGTCAGATTTTTCTTTTCAAAACCATATAAATCTGTGAATATCTTTTCTTTATCCTTGCATTGTTTGAAATGTGACAGTTATCACTTATTAAACTGTTACGTGATCTGAGGACAGTTTTTATATATTTTTTTTAAAGATTTTATTTATTTATTTGAGAGAGAGAAAGAGAGCACACACGAGCAGGGAGAGGGGCAGAGGGTGAGGGAGAGGCAGAGAAGCTCAAGCCGACTTTATTCTGAGAGTGAAGCCCAACCGGGGGCTCAATCTCACAATCCTGAGATCATGACTTGAGCCCAAACCAAGAGTCTTAACCCACTGAGCCACCCAGGCTTCCTTGTTTTTATATTTTCTGTCATGTTCCATTTGTCTCCCTGATGCTTCATTCACTGGTCCTATGCACATTCATTTCATTAATTTTATAGCACGCTAATAGTATTAGATAGAGCATACTCACCATTATAGTCTTCTATTTCAAAATTTATTATTTTCACTCATATATTCTACATAAACTGAAAAGTATTTTGCTCAGTTCTAACAAAGTACCTTGGAATTTTTTTTTATTTTGGCAGCATTAAAATGAAAAATTTATTTAGAGAGAACATACCAGAAATACTGAGTTACTGTTTCTCAAATTTTATATTTTTCTTTAAATTATAATTCTTTTCCTCTGATATTCACACACACACATACATTTATATGATTTTTCCTACTTATTTATTAATCTCACTAAAATATGACAGTAATCAATTTCCATAGGAAATTACTCAAATTTTTTCCACAATTATATAGGTTATTTTAACACCATTTCTCATTAGGGAGCCTATTGTGAAAAATATATTATTACATTAATTGCTTTTCCTTTTTGAGCTTATACTTCCGTTTTAAAATAAAAAAAACTCAACATTTTTGTTCATTTTATTTTAAATAAGAAAAAGATCCTTAAATATAGATTTCAGATGATTTAACATCACAAAAATAATATAACTAGTAATATGAATAAATTGATTTTTATCCTCATTCTTGATAAGGTTATAAATATTAATTGCCTTATGATATCATCTAACATGTATATGCTTAAATATTTGATGACTCGTATCACAAATGGTTTTGATATACAGGCCCCAAATTCCTGTATTAATTGCAGTTATTTTTGTAGGTCAAAATATCTAATGTTGTTATTTATGTTTTAGGTTAGTGGGATGGTTTGGCCATGAACTCAGCACCCGATTTAAGATGGATAACAGTAAGTGTATTCAGTTTCACTTCCCAAGTCATTTCATTTTACCTTCATTTCAATTTTCATCTGTCTTTGTATGATATGTAATATACATGCCTCATGGAGAGTGCACTTTGAAAATGCCACTGAGAATTCTTAAAATAAGAAATGACATTTCCAGAGTGTAAGACTAAGTGTTTGTAGGTTTTAGCATGAATTTGAGTCTATCCCTTTGTAGGGAGATAAGTGGAAGTGAAATGTAATGTACAGGACTCAGATCTCATCAATATTGAGTACCCAAAACATCAGGCAATGAGGACAGAAAGGAATTTTTTGCTTGTAGTTAGACCCAGAGAGACTTAGGTGTCAATCCCACTTTGCTGCTTAATCGTTTTGTGATGCTGCACAAATTATATCATCTTGGGTTTTTTGTTTTCTGTTTTGTTTTCCTTCTTGCATATCTAATGTGAATAGTAAAATCTATGTCAGGGTTTGATTTGAGAGTGAGACAGGTTCGTTTTTAGCTCTCTTTTTTTCAGTTTTTCCTTTTGTGGCTTTTGCCACACACCAAACAATAGCAGTTGAACCCCAGCAGGTAGAAATAAAAGTACAACATGTGCAGTGTGCCCCCAAACTGCCCTACTTTTTCCTGAGTGACTGACCCTATTCTTCCATCACGTCGGATACAGAAAGCTGCTTAAATGGTTTGAGAGTTTCAGTTCAACTTTCCCCTTCAGAGTGCTACCAACCAAATGAATTACTATTTTAAATAAATTCGCATTTGTAAAAACCAAGATGCAAATGATCAAGATGGGCTCTTCCAGTCAAATCAAGAAACCTGTATTTTATCTTGGCTGCTGGAATAATTAGCTCTGTTAATATGCCAGTTACTTAAATTTTTTGTGATGGGTTTTCTTATCTGTAAACAAGAGAATTGGACTAGAGCAGGAGTGGGCAGTCTCTCTGTGAAGGGCCAGAGATTAGATATTTTAACCTTTTGGGGCTATACTGTTCTGTGGCAAATACTCAATGCTGCCATTGTACTTCTAAAGCGGTCGCAGCCATAAATGAGTGAATGTGGCTATGTTCCAATGAAACTTTATTTACAAAAATAAGTCGTGGGCCAGATTTGGTCCCCAGGACATAGTTCAGTCCTGGATTAGATGAATCTCTAAAGACCTAGCATATTCTAATGCTCTTTTAGTCAGTCTTAGCTTTAATTTGATCTCCAACTAGCAATTTAACTCTATTGGATTTGACTTGCTACTATTCAATCTAATTGATTCTAATTAGGATAATATCTGCTATTAATTTACTTCTTAAATATATCATACTTAGGCAGATCATTTTTTTAAAAGCCTTTTTTTTCCCCCTAGGTGAAGCCACTTGACCTAATAATCCTAGTGCTAAAAGTCACCTTCCTAGGTCATTTCATTCATATTTCTGCCTTTGGATGGCATTACAATTACAAGCCACTAAAATCTTGATGTTTTTCTCTCACTGACATGGTTTCATAGTGGAAAAGCAAAGCATGGGGCACAATAAGGAATGCTGGTTTGGGAGTGGGAAGACAGAGGATGAGATCCAGAATTCTTCTACAAAAGGTCATTTTTTATGTGTCTAAGAGCTCTAGGGTGTGGGGGCAGGGGAGACAGACATTGCAGGTGAAGGGGAAATATGCCACTATTTTAGGTCCATGGAGTTTCTCTTAAGTATCTCAGAAAACTTAGGAATAAAAGCTTTTAAATCTTACTCTTTTTCTCTCTACCACTTTAGTGTCATAAAAAAAATCCATAGAGGACGTTTTTTAAGGTACATTCTATAATAAATGACATGATGTTCATTTTTCAGAACTGCAGTTAATCCCTGGGGTCAGTGGATTTCGAATTTCAAACCCTCCCATTTTGTTGGTCTGTTCCTTACATGCTAGTTTAGAGGTAAGTGATCTATGCTTCAACCTCCCCACATCTTTACCTATTTCTTTACCTGACTGTGACCTACTGTAGGACCTTCTCTGCTAAACAGCAAGATTAATGAACAATGATCAAAGGCCAGTGTTCTCCTTCAGGGCAGTGACTGTGGGCTAATTGCCATCTCCTTTTTCTATCTCCAGCCCCAGCACTGTGCTTGGCATATAATAAATGTTGTTGGCACTTGATAAATGTTTTGGAACTGACCCGGGGATACATATTTTTATTTCCACTTAGAATTTGTATGAACTTAAATAAGTTGTTTAATCTTCTCATGGTCTTTCTCTTACAAAATAACCATACAATATTTAATTCTTGATTAATTCACTCATTCAACATTTATCTATTAAGAAAGTATTATGTGCCAGACATTGTTGTGATTACTGGGAATTCTGCTTATGCTGGTTCTATGAGTCAGTGAACTCACAAACTGCCATGTCACAAAACTATAGGAAGACATACTTTAAGGAAAAAAAATAGAAATCATCAGAGTAAACCAAAGATTGAGCAAGGGTATCTCTTGAAGTAAGTGGATTTTTTTTTTTTTTACTAGAGTGTCTATGCCATTATATTCTTGTATAATCTCTACTATTACTGGCTCAATATATATTTTTTAGTAAATTCATATTTTTAGTTAAATTTAGTTTCACCCTAAGCAATAATATCCAGGGAATCAGTTTGGTTTTCTAGATGTGCATATCTACCTTTCTAACTATTTATATAGATAGATACTTATCTACTTTACCTGTCTATTTATATCTATATTATATTCATATGTATATTTATGTAACTTAATTATTTGGATATTAATTTCAGGATGAGACTAAATTTGTTTAAGTAAATATGTATTAAATGATTATATGCTATATAATTAATATTAACACATATACTAAGTAAATATATTTTATATACACACATAGAGTAAAATGTATTTTAGGTAAATGTGGGGCTTTTTTGGTAAATAGAGTTTCTAACAGAGATTTTAAATATATAGCTATTCAAAAGAGAATTTGACTTTATTAATTTAAAATGCTTTAAAATCATCTAGTTTTTGATATTTTAGGAAATCCTGTTGTTGAGTATTTCAGAATGAATGACTGGATAAAGACTTCCAGAATCTCTTCTAAACCTAAATTCTAGGATTCTGTGAACACGCATAGCAGTTTCTCCTTTTGGCCACTGGATGGCAGTGTCAAGTTCTTTTTTTTATACAACTTCACCTCTAGACAGTGGTAATCAACTCATTTCACTTCATCCCAATTTAAAAAGCACCTACTCAGTGTGACCACTAGATGGAGCTTGTGTTGTTTTCGCTTTTTGGCCGTTTTTTGGGTTTGTTTGTTTTTTTTTTTTTTTAATTGAAAATAGACCCAGTAACAAGATTTTTTAAGCCAGTGAAAAAATTTTTAAAAATTTTTTGGGGGGGTAGTGAGGGAATCTACTTAGCAAGTCAGATAATGATATTTGAATTGTTTTTATGATATCTATTCAGAGAAACTCTTCTGTTAAATGTTTTATAACGAAATAAAATTTTGCTCGCTTTGCAAGTTTGTATCAGGAAAAAAATGAAATTCGGTATGAAAAGCACCAAGGTGTACCTTGGGAAGAACTAGTATTTAAGGTTTTTCCTCGATTTTCCTTATTTTTGCAAATGAGTTCTCAGCCAGATCTAGAAATTTTAGACACTCAAGTATGTTTCTGCAGTGGACTGGTTTCAAGTATTTACCCCTTCTGCCATGAAAAAGAAGTCACATTCTCAGTTTTCCTACCACTGGTTCTCCAGGCTGGCTTGAATGATAAAAAGCACAGAAATTTGGAGGGGGGCTTTTATTTATTTATTTTTAATTTTATTTACATCATTAGTTTTTGATGTAGTGTTCCATGATTCATTGTTCACATATAACACCCAGAAAGCACAGAAATTTTTACCACCACATCACACTGTATTATAGTCACCTAGACAAGGTTTTTGTTTTCAGCTGGAATCTGAAGATTGATTTATTTTTTTTCTTTAACACTTAAACTTAGCAAAAAGACCCTAAAAGCCACAAGAAGTGGGATATATACTTCTCTGGAGCAACTTATCACTTAAGTATTTCTCTTGAGCCTCTTAGAAATACCTTACTTAAGTTTTTCGCCGCTGAGGCTCCATTCTAACCAAAATTATCCTTAGGTAATCCAACGTTGTGTTTGAGAAAGTGTTTTTGAAATCCTTCCTCCCCATTATAAATTGCAAAATTCTGAAGTTACAAAACAATGCATTTCTTTGCTTCTTACTCTTTACATAACCATTAAAATGTTCTGCTCCCTAGACGCCATGTGAGTAAGCATGAGGGCTGCTGCCCTTGTTTACATTATAGCATTATAAGAGATAGGTGATTAAAGTTTGAATAAATGAGAGATAGATGAATGAATCAAAGTGCTTTTCCTTGTAGCTACTTCTCTTTCAAAAAATATCCTACATAGTCAAAGACCAACTAGAGGAGAGATTCTGAACTTAAGAATCAATGTACATGGATATGATATCAGTTTGACAATATGATTTTTAAAAAATATTAATATGGTTTTGTTTATAATTACATGTGCATTCAATTGAATGATAGTATGAAAAATAGCACTTTATAATCAGTTTCAAACTGTCTTTTTCTTTATATTTTTGGCTCTTAATCATTTGTACCACATATTTATATAGTATAAATACAAATACATATGGTACAAATATGGTACAAATTTTATATATAACAAAAATGTGGATCAAGGGAACCTAGGGTAGGAACCAGGATGCATATACTCTAGTCCTCATTGGGACACTAAGTGTGACCTTAGACAGGTGACCTTTAGACAGGTGACAACATCTCTTGATTATATGTACTCTTGAGTTCATTTGTCTCATTTTTAAAATGAAGACGTTTATAGCAGATTACTTCAGAAATCTCAATCTTCCAACTGCTAACTTGAAATTAAAAATATATTTATTGTATTTGAATGGTCATACTTGTATGCAGCGATAGGTAGACAATTTTTAGACTCTTTCAGTATATGAATTTATAATGAAATAAATAGCTCCAAAATACAAGATTAGAGCGTTCAATTAAAATATACAGCAATTAAGAAGAAATGTACTATGTGTTTCCTCAAAGTTATTAGGCAGCCAATTTTAAGAATTTAAGAGAAAAAAATGTGACACTTGAAACCATCATACTATACTTATTTTTCCCATTTAAACTTCTCTAACTTTTCTAGCTCTGTATTCATTTTTCTCAGTAAGAAAAATAACCCATGTAGTTGAAACTCTGCCAAAAATTGTTATAAGCTGAATATTTCCAAACTACAGTTTTCATTTTTTTCTAATTAAAAAAATATTCTTTCTCAATATGGAAAGCATAGAAATAATGAGAAGCCAAAACTAAAAGAAGCTATTTATTCTATTCTCCAGATAACTCCTATTATTCCCTCTTAATATTTTTATGTGAGTCCTCAGAAGAGACCTTCACAGCCTCTGACAGGATTTTGAGTGCCTCACAATACAGCTGTCCTTACTGTGGTTTAATGATGGAAAATGGTTTCATATTTAAAAGTTATTTTATTATCAAAGTGTAACGGTATGTTAAATTTAAGACTATTTGTTATAAAAAAAATTGGTTTCTAGCTATCAGAGAAATCTGCAAGAACAAAATCTCCTTTAAAAAAAAACCCTATAAACTTAAGTAAGATTCCCCAAAGTCCTACTAACCTATGAATACAAATGAAGTATCATTAAAAGTAGTACTTCACATATTCCTCCTGCCTGTATGTTACCGGGCTTATAGCAGAACGAGAAAATTTTTCAGAACTATTTATAAATCGAATGTTCCTTGAATTGCTATTAATCTCCAAAGAGAAGACTGTAAAAAGTCCTCTCCTATTCCTGTATTCCTGTCCTGCCAACCAAACCGCTGGTGGGTCGTGCTTTGCCTCTCCCTGCCCCTGCCCTCTGTGAGAATTGATTCTTGATCCAGGCTCTCTTGATCCAAAAGTTGGCTCTGTTCCCTTGAGTCCACCTTGTGCCAGATCCACTTACACTTTGTTTTACACGGGGGAGTGAAGAGATGCCTCCTATCAAACACAATGTAACTCGGGCTACCTGAGTAACTCGAGTTACCTGCTTGTACTGCCCATCCCAGATACCTTCTGAGACTGACATCAGACTCGACTTGCGGCCAATCTCTTCCAAAGTCTGCGAGATCTGGTTGAGGACAGAGACAGATGCCATTCTATCCTGTTCCTCCCATCTTCCTTGGATACTGTTACCTTCAATACAAATCCCTTGGTCTCCTTCAGCCAGATCTACAGCTCCCATGCCATATAGATCAAGGAAGTCTTTGCCCAAATGGTTTGAGTCCTATTAGAATGCCTGCTCACACATGCCACATGTATATACAGAAATAACTATTTTCCCAAGCTTCAGAAAGTCTAGATGTCACCGAACGACCCTATCTTTGCTCTGTGGCATAACAATAACATGATACAGAAAAGGGATATTAAGTGACATGCCAGTGCATCATGCTCCGTTTGCGGTTTATTCAGTTCTTATATGTAGGATATATTTTTAAACTCTACTTGACCTTAAGAGATAAGCTAGAAAAGCATGTCTGTTTTGACCTCTAATGTTCCAACTCCAGTTATTGTGTGCACTTGTCACTCATCTTAATATAAGACACCTCAGGCAGCAAATGGTAGTATTTTCACACCAGTGATGGAGTTTAGCAGGGGGAAAAAATGATGAAAGAAGAAAGAAAGAGAAAAAGAGAGAGAGGGAGGAAGACACACACACAGAGAGAGAAGCGAGCCTAACTGCCTTAGTACTAACATATGTATTATCTAACATGACTTGCTTCCCTGCCTGACAAAACTTAATTTTATTATTTAACTGCTTGTTTGCTTACTGTTACTGGGGAGATTTAGGAGTTGGTAAAACAGTTATAAATAATATTGGTCATGGGGCGCCTGGGTGGCTCAGACGGTTAAGCGTCTGCCTTCGGCTCAGGTCATGATCCCAGGGTCCTGGGATCGAGTCCCGCATAGGGCTCCCTGCTAGGCGGGGAGCCTGCTTCTCTCCCTCTGCCTCTGCCTCTCTCTCTCTCTGACTTTCATGAATAAATAAATAATAAAAAAAAAAATAAAAAAAAAAATAATATTGGTCACACTGCCTTTCATATGTACACAAGTATTTAGCCCTTATTATACTTCTGTGTGGACCAAAAGCTATATATGAATAGAAAAAAGTCTTCTTGATTATGATTTTGTAAAATGGTTTGGAGGAAAAGGTTTGAATTTCATGATCTTTAAAAAAGGACATGTTTTTACAAAGGATTATCTAAAATGAGATGTTTTTGGAAAGGTCAGAAGTGGACATTTCCTTTTTTAACGTGATTTTCACTTAAATTTTTCTTCTTTGTAAATCAACAAGACACTGTTAATCAGATTGTTTCTCATTCTGTAGATCTTTAAGCAGGCAACTATGAAAGCATTGAGGAGAAAATCTATTTTGCTCACCGGTTATCTGGAATACTTGATCAAGCATTACTATGACAAAGATAAAGCGGATACCAAGAAACCGTTTGTGAACATAATTACTCCATCCGGCATAGAGGATCGCGGCTGCCAGCTTACACTAACATTTTCTGTTCCAATAAAATACGTTTTCCAAGAACTAGAAAAACGAGGAGTGGTTGTAAGTATATCTCTTGCTTTGCTACCCGGTTTTCTCTCTGAGTTGCATGTTGGGGGTAAAATTTGGGTTCTTCATTTAATTTACTGTTGCATGTTATTTCACATCGGTCAGTCAGTGAGGTTAGATTAAATGCCAACTAAATATTCATCACTGTGCTAATTGAAGACGAAGAGATCTGTCATTTCTGATAAAAGGTAAGAAACTACAAATTTTGAATATAGGAACAAGTCTCCCATAATTTATTCATTCTTTTCATTACAGTTTGAGTAGAAAAAAAATTGTTTCATCATAATCAATTTTAGGACATGTTTTCACTAGTGAAAGCCCAAATATGTATATTTATTGACTACACAGAATTAAAGAACATAACATAGTGGCGAGGAAGAAAAGAAGTCCGTCTTACTTAGCTGTTTGATTGAGCCAAGTCGTTTTCAACCTGTCATTTTAGTAAAAAAAGAACTGTAGACACATCTCAGGGGTGTTAACATTGTATGGAATTTTTTTTTTTTTTTTTTTTAACCCTTGGGCCTAAGTGATCTTTTTAGTCTCTCTCAGAAAATAAGCGTTAATAGGGTCATTTCAGGAAAACTGGTGGTCAATGGATCTACTTCCAGTGACAGTGTAGTTTAGGAATTGCTCTGCTCATGTGGTCCTGTCACTTCTGAGGAGAGGTTATCTCAGATTCCAGAGGCACAAATCCGTATGTTAGTGTTCCAAACCCAGTTCTACCATTTGTAAGCTGTGTGCTCCTGGGAAAGCTAGTTCACGTCTATTGGCTTGAGTGTTTCCGTCTGGATTTGGAGGGCAAAAATGCCTCCAAAAGTGGTTATGAGAATTAAATGGTCCAGGGCGCCTGGGTGGCTCAGTCGTTAAGCGTCTGCCTTCGG